TTTAAAAAACATGCGATAGCATGGTGACTACATCCTATAAATGCTGCAGCCCCTTGTCTATGAAATATCCGTGTCTGCTTTGATCTCTGGCAATGGACTCGAGCAGGAATCTGAAATATGAGGCGGATAAAGTTCTTGCTCCATCTGTCGTGTTGCCTTTTCCACAACTGTCTCCTGAGGCTCGTCTGTTCTCTTCCATTGGCAATGATTTATCACATTGTCAGCACAGGTACTAGCTAAAAGCCCGGACATGCGTGTTTCGCTGATATTGTGTCGCCTCAAAAGGCAACTGCAAGGTGTTCGGCTCATAAGTGAGCCCCTCAACGTTCTTCGTGTGCTCTTTGGTATATAAACTCTATTTTCTTTTCTGTCTTTACGCTCAAACTTATGATTTTATGTCTTCAGGAAAGGAACGAGGTCGATATACACGAAACTTCAAAAATCGACAAATTTATGATTGTGGGGAGATAGTATATACCCGCTGACCTTAACTGATTTTGTAAATTCCAACGTATCAGTGGAGCATCTGAAAAACAACAGCAACAGCACAAAATTACATCCTCTTAGACATTGCTATTGTAAAAAAGTTGTCTTTTAGTTATAAAAAGTATGATTTTAAGAGTTCTGCAGACTCACCGCCGTCCGTAGACTCCTTATGATTGCATTATGAGCATGCTTCTTGGCCGCATAACCTAAACTTTTTTCTAACGAGGGCAATGACATATACGGTGGTTCCATCACTGTTTTTGTGTGGGACGTCTTGGGCGTTGGTTAAGGCGTCCTTAGGTGTATCGAGAAATCCAATAGATTGGGAAGATAAGATAAACTAGGCAGAAGTTGTTTTACTCCCGAAGTATTTGCTAGCGGCTTAGAAATATGGCCACAAATATGAACACAAAGCATTCTCTCGCCTTACCAATCAAGAGTGAGCAGCGTTATCGCTATATGCGAAAACATTCTATGTGCGCAGATAGGAGAACAGTCGTTAACGCCTGGGACAATAAGGTTTCCATCGAGCTTATACTCCAACGCATCACCAGATACCTCAGACGGGAAATGTCCGTCCGAGATATTTTTCTTCTCCCTATCCTCCTGTTAGTCGTCCTCTGTCTACGCGGTGGCAGCGAACGACTTCGTAGACTGTGGGCAGGTGGATTTGCCGCCCAGAAGAACTTGGGCACTCCTCGAGCTCCTATAGTTTAGATTCGCTGTACTGCATTTACTGTACGAAGAGTTCTGTTCGTGGCTTGAAAGGCTACCGGTCCTCGTAATCAGTACGGGGTGTGTGTGGGCTGACTGTCTCAGGGGCTGGGAGGTAGTCTCAGTGACTCCTTCTTAATATTGTCTCGGTGGTACTACCATGAAGACGAGACTCCAGCCGATTCTTATTCCCTTCGAAACCTGGTGCACTGTGCGCGGTAGACAGATCGGGTGCGGCAAGCGTAGATGGGCTGTTTAACCTCCGGTTGTCTTGACACTGTCTTGCCATTGGAGCCTAGCGGGTGAGGGAGGGTGAACTGCGGCACAGGATGAACGTCGGTCAAACTCTCACTCTGCAGGCTGTGGATGATATCTGGCATCGGTGATTCTGATCTAAACGAAAATTAAGCTGATCTGCGGTGCGTCTAGGATAAGTTTCCTTGCCATAGCAGCATCCGATGCACCCGATCTCGGTCCCTTCCGGCCTAATAACATGTTTTCCGCAGGCATCTACGGTGAGAGTTATGACGATCGCAGAATGCTGATAGAAGCGAATAGGCGACTTCCAGGAGGCAGTTCAGGCGAGGATGTGATCGCTAGAACAAGAACTTTATTAGCCTGGCGTTTCGTATTCTCGCTCGAATCCTACACCAGAGACAATCACAGAAAGGGGTGTTAGATGAAAAAGGCGCTCAGTACTTATAGGATGCAGTGTCCGGGCAACCACATGCCTACAATAAATAACAGCATTCTAGTTCATCGTTAGAAACCACATTTGACGCGATGACTGCTTGTCAGTCTGTACCTAAGTCGTTAGTAGGCGTGATTTCATCACCGCTGCTGGTTCTTGACGTGACGATTAGCCGGCAGTTTGTCTCTTTGATACTCGGACTGTTGGTCACTAACTCGTCCCCTCGTGGTTACTTATTTTGCTCAGACAAAATTGCAGCGGAGAGCATAGGGACGGATGGTCCTTGCTCCTGTTAACCGGATGCGCGCCGGAAAACCATGAATCAAGCAGCTCGCGGCTCACGCGGTTGTCACCTTCTGCGAGGATTTTGACGTCGTCAAACTTGAAGGTGTGACTGGGTCTCCTTGAATGCGCCGCGATCTGGGAGCTTGCGTCATTCCTCCTCACTGCTGTTGCGTGTTCGGTCATTCGCGTCTGGAGTAATCTTCCAGTTTCTCCAACGTAGTTGCCTGACTCGCGACAGAGCAAGATCCGCTAGACGACTCCTGACGTTTCCTGCCGTGGCAGTGGGCCTCTCGACCTCACGAACTGGCACCTGTTGTTTGCTTCCGGCCTGTGTGCAACCCCAAATCCAGGTGGTGTGAGAAGACAACTGGCGGCTTGCAAAACTTTTTTCACGGACGGGAGCTCTCGATAAAATTTGGGGTCGGTTGCATTTTGTCTTTCGTCGCGTTTACACACGCACCAGTTGACGAAGCTGCGCGGGTAACCATTCGCTCTAAACACCCGTCGAAGATATTGTAATTCAGCAACCTTGTCTTCCGGATCGCTGAAATTCGTCTCGACACGCCGGTACGGCGCCCTTACGCAACAGCGTTTGTGGCTGATTGAGTGACTGTCGTTGAAGCTCAGTACTTGCGTCTAATTAGTCGTTTTCTTGAACACTTTAGTTTTGGGTCACCGCAACCCTTTCGGCTGAGAAGGACCCCAAGGATAGCTAGCTGGTTGTTCTCTTCCTCCTCAGTCGTGAACTGTATGCCCGGGAAGATGGCATTGAGATGCTCTCTAAGTCCCATCAGCTGATCTTGTTCGATGACGACGAAAGTGTCACTCACTTTCCGAGTTCAGATTTTCGGTCTGTGGTGTCGGGATACCAGCGACTCCAACCGTTTTAGGGCCGCCTTAGCTATGAATTCCAAAATGGTTGAACCTACTGACGTGCCTTTCACCTGCTTTTAGACTGTTCCGTCGAACGTAAAGTATGCTTGAGACAGAACTTCGGGATTGGAAGGATTTGCACGTGGCTGTGACAATTCTCCGTCTTACTGTATGTGTTCTGGACAAGCAATTCGCCAGTCTGGACGATCACAACCTGCGGAACAGAAGGACGCTCATTGGTTTATTAAAATATATCGAAATTGGCAGTTGCCAAAATGTGCTAATAGTACTGTCTTGAAAGGTTACGGATTGGTGGAATTACAGGTTAATTCAGGGTACCAAAAACAACGAACTGAAATGACGAGATGGACTGGGCAGAAGTTGTTGCAATTCTTCAAATTTTGGTCGTTTCAACTTCATAGGCATATAGCCGAATCGACTTTGTTGTCTAGTTCTCTTTTTCCTCTCTCCAGACACAAAGATAACATTTGTTAAGGGAAGGTAGCACTGCACGCTTGTTCGCGTATGCAGCCTTTGTAAAAGATTTCGTGTTCTATTGTCTCACATCTAGTCGAGATTAATCGCCGAGACCAGACACCGGATACCAGTAAACTTCCCCAAAGGCCGACACAAACGAGTGCTAGCTACAGCCGGGATGGTAGCTATACGACTAGCGAATCCAGTGCTGTGTTGCCAAAAGACGTTGAAGCAGGCACTCTTTCTTCCGTGGCCAACGCCGATCCCGGATGGTTATCGCACGCCACCCCAACCCCCTGATTACAGCGATGTGTACTCCACGTGTTCGACTTACAAACACCACTCACAGCTTATGTCAACCCCATGGCCCAAGGAGTATAACACGCCGACCTCGTCATGCGGATGGAGTGCGAACGATAAGTATTAACAGCCCTTGAATCACTTATAAACCCTGTGAACGTCTCACATTTTTAATTTCTATATAACGGTATTGACCTGGTCGTGAGTTTCCGAAAACTCGGGGTTGCCAACTTGACTTTTTTTAAGAGGGATTGGAATATTTTGTAGTCCGTATTGTTAAATGCTCAACACATCCTCGTCCTCCAGACCTTGACGAGAACCTAGGTTGCCCAATGTTCGGAAGGTCTGACAACTCTGCGCTTGCTCCGACCTGTAATTTTACACAAGCCAGTGTACAGAAGAATCAGAATAAAAACTCACCGCCTACCGAGCGCTGGGTCTACTCGCTATGAAAGTTCTTGGATCCCATCTTAGTACGTACTGCAGTCAGTGACCAATCTCTTGAGAAACTGGTTGAAATTCTGAAAGAAGTTTGTTCAAAAGCGAGCAACCTGAAGTAGTTGAATTATCTTGGGATTATGTTGTGTGGTAAGTAACATTACAACTCCACTTAAGTAATATTTTCGAGTCGCAAACGCATTTCATAATTTCGGTTGACATTTCATGAGTTCTCACATCTGTACGTTACTTTTTCTGGATATTTTATACACGAGGAACAGGATATTCTTCGGTTGAAAAAATGTTTTTGATCACGCGATTTTTTAGGGCCACATAATGTCCATTCAAATAGCATCCTATCTGTCCGTTTAGTTACGCACTTCATGGAGAATACGACGTAGTATTCATTCATCACAAGATTTTACGTATCCTATTTGATGTCTTCCCGATGGTATAGAGGAATATATGTCTTCTTACACGAGACGTATACAGCATGCAAACTAAAAACCCTAAACGGAAACGTAGCGGCGGGTCAGACTTAAAATTATTCGAAAGCCTAGATATGCTCTTCCTTTGAATATTAAATGTGAGGAATGAGTTGTTGCCCACCAAATAAGTGCAAGAAGAAATATGATTGGGCATGTTTTCTACAAACTATATTTTGATTTATGTTGGCATCGAAAATCGATGGTAAAGCGCATAATACCTGTCCTTTTCCCTGCTTTGCTCAAAAATATCTGTTAATTTTGAAAGGAGTTATCCAAATGCTCTTTTCTGCCGCCGGCGATTCTTATGCCATTTCAGTCGATATTTTCCTACAGCGACATTTCAAAACGGTTCAGCAGTTTGCTGGTCGAATTCTAGATGGCGTTGCTCATCCCCTGAAACTTGATCTTATTTCTGCGAAGTCTTCCCATCCGATGCGCCGCGACTTCCGACTTATCTTTTGTCGCACATCGAGATTCTGTATTGCCATTCCTCGCGCGCTATCTTACATGTGAAGAGATAGAAATACAGAAGTTAATTTTTACCGGGCGTGGTTTTCACATGCGACCTAAAAAGTGCATTTAAATGTCAAGATCTTGGCGCGCATGAAACGTTTTTGCCATATTCTACCTGATGATCAATGCGACATCCCCACTTAAGTGGTACTTCCTAATCGAAGACGCATTTAAGAATCTCGGTTTACATTTCCTAAAGCGACATTTCGGGTCTATTGGATCAGTAGCAGCACGGCAGCTGGACCAGTCCCAGCCCGCGGGGTCGAAGCTGAAAATATGCGTGCAATCTGTGATTCGCCTTGTTGGCTCCACTGTTCGCACATTACGCCCCTTCAAGTGTCGTGCTCATCAACTCACCCACGCAGGTGCACGCAGCATCGAACGCTGTTAGTCCCTGACTGACGGTTTAATGGATAGCCAAGCGACCTTCTAATTGGTCCTCCCGCAGCTGTAGTGCACACTTTACGCTCAACTGATATATAAGGGCTCGTAGACAGTCAGGCGTCTCATGACACTACCAGGCTAGCAGCAATGCCATCAAAAACGCCAGCGCCTAAGAGTGAAGCCAAGCACGCCCAGAAGTCCAAGAAGACGCCGAAGACCGTGTTTGGATCCGCCCTACTGACTGGATACGTTCCGATACCAAAGCAACAGGAGGTCAGCATTGAGAATGCTCTTGAAGCTGTCGAATCTGTGTCAAAAAGGACAATACAAAAACCCTACAAATGCAAGGTCTCAGACTCGATCACCTACCTGGTGGTAAGAAGACGAAACGTCGTCAACTCTGCCAGACCCTGGAAGCTGCGCATCCCCTACTTAGAAATCTACCGTTACTTCATATTTGCCCGCGATCCGACACTGGTAGTTCTTGTGATTCCGGAGAAGACGAGCGGAAACCTGGCATATCTGTTGTTGAACATGGAAACACCCGACCAGGCAGCAGCCATCTGTGATGCAATTCAGAAGAGAAGGCGATCCAACGTGAACGGTAGCACCACACTAGATCATAAAGCCAATCAACAAACGGATGCCTGTAGCAATACAGCGACCGCGGAAATGACGCATCTTGGTCCTCCAGAGGGCGATAGTGGCAGCACCCATGAGGGGAGAGAGGGCGGTTTAGAACCCAGTGAAGATCACTGTGAAAAGGAGGCTTCAGGGACTACCACTGCGGAGTCAGTAATGGCGGAGGGCCAAAAATCTGCAGCCCCTCTCAGCTGGCCCTCAGTGCAAGAACCCAGTACTGAGGCGGAGGAGACAGATGACAAGCACCAGATCTCACCAGATGCGCCACAGACAGATTCCGAGGAGACTCCGGGACTGCTGGAGACTTTGATCAAGGCGAGCAACAAGGAGCTGCAGAATTCGGCCGTTCCTTTCATGTATGACTCTGAAGGACCAGAGGAAAGGTCGGACGAGAGTGACTCCGACGGTGAAGAGCAGAATGAAACAGAGTCGAGGAGACGAAGGGTCAGGGAGGAAGAAATTCGACCCCAGGATGTGACTCAGCAGAATAAAAGCGCCGTATCCAGCGAAGGGCAATCGAAGAGTAGAATGGCCCGTCGTGAACCACCAAAGTTTGTAGAAATGCCAGTCGATTTCCTAGGTTCTCATGGTAATGATCAACCAGCCGAAAATCGGAACTTTGAAGCTCTGAGGCAGTCTCTGCTTCATGACAAGTATGATGACGATTGGGCTGTCGACATGAAGATGGTCAAGGGAGATGGGAATTATTACAGTCACATCAGGGATGATGGAGATATCCTCATGTTTGTGGCGCATCATTTAGTGCCGGAGAACGCCTCCTACAGCCTCAGCTCTGAAAGCGACTCGGGTGCCGAGTTAGACGGTTACCCACCCAGTGGACACACCTCGGAAAAATCTCAGAAACGGACTGACAGTTCAGACTCTGCCAGTATGTCATCGTCGTCGTCGTCACCCAATCAGATCGCAGAAAGTAAGCCACCCCAGTTGGCCCTTGCGGACGAAAACTCAATTTCTACCCTGCAAACACCTCTGGAAACTTGACAATGAAAGTTCGTCCTTTATTTCAATCCAGTTGTCTCACTGACTCTGCTTTTCTGTGTCAGCTATGGGGAATTTTCTTTTTTTTCTTATTTACAACGCATTGTACATTCTAGACAATCCTTCCAGAATATCGAAGCAATAAATGTTTGAAAAAGATCACAAGAACGCCCCTCTCATGAGTGCCTCCAGTTTGAAGAGTTTGATGGACTAAACAGACGTCACTCATTCAAGGCGGGCTTAAGGAGAGAAAAGATGATTTGGATGAAAAATTATGTGACGAACACTTATTTCACCGGAATTTAGCTTACGGGACGTCCTTATTCTCGTGTACGGT